AGTCCTCTGGCACCACACCAGAGCACCACGAGTGCTCGTAAAGCTGTGCCAGGGGTCCTGCAATGACCTCAGCCAATTCCTTTAGTACTCTAGGGTGGAGATCGCCTGTACCGGCTGACTTGAATACATCCAGTCCCTCCAGAAGTTCCCTAATTAGTTCGTCACTAACCACTGGCCTAGGTGCACTTCCCCTGGGGCCTGAGGGGGGCCCAGCGGAGGGGTGACTATTCCGGTTCTTTGCCTGCTTAGGAAAATGGAGGCAAAGAAATCATTAAATATGTTGGCTTTGTCATCTGGTGTGACAACCAAATTTCCTAACGTGTCCTGCAGGGGCCCCACATTACCTGGAACATTCTTTTTACCTTTCTTACCTTTTAGGGTCCAATTACAAGAGAGGGGTGGCAAACTGACCTGGAAACTGACTAGTGAACTCCTTGCAAACTGTCCTGTTTGCTTCTCCCTATCCTGCTGACAGCTGGGAAGTGTGTGTGTGGGGCGGGGGCAGGACTGGGGGAAAGAGGCAGGTCCTCGGCTGCAGGTAGGCTCCTGCAGGCAGGCTTGATTCCCTGCTCCCCCCTTCCATGTTTGTCTGTTGCACGGGGGGAAGGGAGGGGGGCGCTCTAACTCATGGCAAATTATGTAAAATGTCATGAGTTAAAGTGGGGGCCTGCATGTCTGTCAGTGCCCTACGTAAAATACTCCTCTGTATTTCCAGGCAGGTGATGATCACTGTCACCCAGGGGGTCAAGCACCTGTAGACCCCTCACCAGGTCATTGCCCATAGCCAGGACCAGATCCAACAAGGCGTCTCCCGTGGTGGGGCTGTGCACCCCCTGGGTTAGATGGAGGTCCTGTATCTTGGCTAGGAACCTATGTGAGCGGTTAGACCTGGCTGACTGCTTTTCCCAGCAGATGTCTGGAAAGTTCAGGTCACCCATGATGACCACGTCCTTTGACCTAACTACCTCTGTGAGCTGACTTAGAACCAATGGCCAGTGGATTTGCCTCTGGAGAAAAGGATGGAAGCAAGAACTTCTGTGAATACATTTACAGCCTTGATTCTGATCTAACAGCCTTAGAGCAGCCAAAAAAGAAGGAAGAAATCTTTTTGTTTTAGCTCCTTTAGTTATCCACAAGGTACAGACAACTTATTCAAAGTATGTTTATGACAAATGCAGCTTTAACTAACCTGTTAATTTCAGATATTAATTTTAATTGGAACAGCCCTCCAATGACTGTAAGATAAACCTGACATTAAATACCAGTGTCTTGTTTTACTCTTATGGCACAGCTTTGTTCTCATGTAGGCAGTGAGTTCAACTGTGGTTGCATGCTGTGTGCAAAGCTCTTGACGGACCAGGACATGAATTCCTGATGAGAAGAGTGAGATGTAGTTCTGGGTTGGTAGATGAGCTGCAATTTAAATATTTTTAAACTTGAGTTTCATATGCCAACTTCTACTTCTTATTTCTATTTCTGTACAGGTTATAGAACGTGGAACAAGAGTGCCCATACAAGTAGAGTCTCTACCCCATCAAAAAAGAGCTATGTTAACAATCTGTTTTAAAATCTAGGAAGTTTTACATCCCACATGTAGTACTGTGTTTGTATTCTAGTAGTTATGGGAACTATCATGAATCATGGTCTCCAAACCCTGAAAAAATATAGGACTAGAAAGGGACTATGGAACTGGTTACACAACGTGCTTCCAATACCAGTAAGGGGGCTATTACACATTATATTTAGCATGTGTTAACTGCACATAAAATGTTAGTATCTGAGTATTTAAGCAGTAAATACAACATGTTAAGTGTGCTAAGTGTCATTGTAGTGTATCAGACTTGCAACTTTTCTGGCGAGGAGTATCTCCATATCCTATTAACACATGTTGAGCTAATGTCAGACTGCTCCATAGAAGTAATAGGATCATGGGACAGACAATCAGCTATTTGTCAAAGCTCCTCCATGGCACCAAAGGGAGCTCAAGAGTCCAGCATGGTGTGTGATTTTGATCAACAAACAGCTGACTGACATCCCATCTTTCCCACTGCACTGGAGAGGGTTCAAGACTGATGCAGTGAGAGGGCTGGGACAATCAGTTGTTTGTCTGTCAAAGCAACCCACCACTGTGCAGTGGGAAGGCTGGGACTCTACTGCTCTCTGACTCTGTGCTAGATCCCAGGGCCCATGGTGCTCCTGCTTCTCTGCTGGGTCCCATGTCTGACTGTAAGGGGAGAGGAGTGGGACCCAATTCAAGGGAAGGCCATGCTGTAGAACCCAGGTTCGGCCACTCCCTGCCTCTGTGCTGAGTCCTGGGTTGTAAACTCAGGTCCTATACTAAGACTGGAGTTAAAACCAACTAAAGTTTTTATAAAATATTTCTATGCAAATCTTTCCATTGACTCTAATTAGTGTTGGATCAGGTGTTTTACAGAAGAGTGAGAAATGGCAATATTCAATAGCATTTGATGGGTATCAAGGGCAGAGGGGAGAAGAATGCAGGTCAAATAAAAAGGGAAGAGTGTTTACGGGTCAGCATTCTTTGTAAGGCTGGGTCTTAAGATTTATTTAAAAAGAGGAGAGGTGGGGCCTAGGGCTTGAAAACTGTAACCAAAGCACTGAGTTGTAAAGAAGACTTGAGAAAGGGAGAGGGAGGGGTTGTAGCATGTCCCATTTAGAATAATCAGAGAATCATATAAAATGAGGGTTGGAAGGCAGGTCAGGAGGTCATTTAGTCCAACCCCTCCTCAGAGCAGGGCCATTCCCAACTATACCCTCGCAGTCAGTTTGGCATGTAATCTTGAACATATATTGACAGCATTGCATAGAAGCAGGACCTTGGCAGCTGTGGTTCCCCTGCTTTGCCTGGGGCAAGTCAGGGTGTCAGGTCTGTGTTGTGTCAGGGTTGACAGCAGGCTTATGTAGAATTTAGATTTATGGGTTTTTATGGGATGGTTTGGACAGAGATGATCCTGCCGCAGACATGGGGCTGGATTAGACTACCTCTGGAGGGCCCTTCCGGTCCTGCTTCTCTCTATGATAAAGGATATTGGGGGCAGTTGAAAACAATTTTAAAAAATGGCAAAACAGAAACGTTGGGGCTGGGGGGGGGGGG